TTATTGATTTTATTTTATTTTAAATCGGTCTGTACATCATGCTGCGGTAGGCCTCGAGAGTGTCCTAGTGCAGATAGTATACAATGTTGTAGCCTATGAGTGACAAGGAGGTTCCACAACCGGACGATAGGATCTTGCGATCGGCAAGACGCCCGATAGCCCACCAGCAGAGGGAGAGACAGCAGCAACAGCGGAGGGCTAGGGCCGCGGAGGCAAGCAGGGCATTGGCGAGGGAGGCCACTACTTCAACAGTTATGGCATCTGCTGCGCAACAAAGCTCTAAGGCTAATAGTTCAGGGATTGTAGGGTCACCGGTCCTACAAACCCTGAGTCAGTCCACTGGCGGTATGGCAAGCCAGCCGATAGTATTGACCCAGGAGGAGGTCGCCATACAACGAGCAGCTATTCGCGAGGCACAGCTAGAGCAGGCGTTCAGAGAGATTAAGGCAGAGAAGGAAAAAACGGTTAGAATAAGAGGCAGGATACAACATAGACAAGCAGACGTTAGTGAGTTACAGGAGATGGATTTGACGCACATGGATAATAATGTGAGGACCAACGGACCGTCCTACTAGATGCAGTAGAAATGCAGGACCACCAGACGACTCTCTTATAGGACATCCAGTAGAGTCTGGCCGTATTGGTCGGACGGGCGCAGGCAACTCCATCGTCGTCTGGACCCGGTGACTGGCCCGTTGTGCATCCTCCTCCTTTGGCCCACCGGTGAATGGAGTATCCCCATATGTCTCTCCAGTATCAGTCTAAGTCGTTTCCCTGAGTATGCCTTTGACAGGCAGGTTCTCAGCTGGTCCTAGTGTACAGGTTCTTATACAGTCAGTGTATTCCCAACCTCCGTCGCAGGTTGCCATAACCGGGCAGCCTGTTGTCTCGCAGCCTGCACAACCGCAGGGTACACAGCCCCGACAACAGCTAGTGCAGCAGCCTGGTACCCCAGGTCCACAACCTGAAGTGGGACAAGTACCGGGACAAATCCAGTGGGTTTCGAAGACGGCCATCGCCTCCCCCAAACCCTTTTCAGAGGACAAGAGGGGCGAAGACCACGAATCATGGTTGAGGTCAGTGCCAGTCTATGTCAAATGTAAATTCACCTTGTCGCACGAGGAAGTGGTTGTGGCCGCCTCCTATTTAGAGGGGAGTGCAGCAAGATGGTTGAATGGTTTAGTGCAGCTACAGGGATACGATCATGACTTCCGGGCTTGGGCAGTTAACTAGAAACTCGAGGACTTCCTTAAGCTGGTGGAAGATAGGCGGCATGATCCTCAGGAGACTCAAAAAGCCATTGTCGCGATCCTCACTTTGAACAACAGGCAGTTCAAGTTAGTAAGGGAATCCAGAGGTGCAGTAGACCGTCTTATCTGTGTTCCTGGAATACTCTATGACCCCTAGGTCTTACTTACTACATACCTGAGATGTTTTCCTTTGCCTCTCAGGAATCCGTTGGCAGGTGAGGTCAACATCAATATGCACAACTTTCCCTCGTTCAGCAAGAAGGCCCTAGACCTAGAGGCAAAAATAGGGCATGGACATACACCCATGACGAACGGAAGGAAGAAGGCACTGCCTCCCAACTGGAAGGCGAAGGGCCGCATAATGTTAGTGGACAACAATGGTTTTACCATCAAGATAGAAGACGACTTCCAAGCGGGAGCGGGTTCAGAGGCGGGCAGCATAGAGGTTTTAGGGGGTGGAACAGTCGTTGTCTCTGTCCAGAAAGGTAAGGCGACCGGTAGACACCGTGGAGGTTTTCGGTCTAGGAGTCAAGTTGACCCTAACGCTCCTCCATGGGAGAAAGCGGGTCTGACAGAGGATGTGTGGAGAGACAGGTATATCAGGCAGGCCTGTATTCGTTGTGGTCGATATGGCCATAACCAGTTTAACTGCTGAAACAAGAAGGTGACGGAGAAGATCCTGCCTACGATGGGGCAGGCGTTGGGATCCTCCGCTTCCGTAGGTAGCAATGTGGCCAGCAGTTTTGGCACTGCTCCGGGAAACACGTCGGGCCAGTAGGAATAGTAGTTGTTCCTGCTAGGATCGAGGTGGTGGACACACCCTCACCTTCTCGAGAGATGGTCCAAGCTACTAATTTCATCGTCGTCCCGCAAACACATTCCGACCCAGCGATCCTCTGTTCGTTGAATGTGTTTGAGTTCTTAGAGGAGTTAGAGGAGGAGTGGTCTAGATCGGACCCGCTAGCTTCTTGGACGACCATGGCCAAAGCCCCTAAGGGTGAGCTATTTGTCGGCAAGGTAGTCATCGACGGTCGCAAGGTCGAGGCCTATTATCACACTTGTTCGACACGAAATTTCATTAGTCGCACGTGCATTGAGAGGCTGCGCTTACAGAGACAAGTGCAGCGCCTGAGTCGACCTGTGTAATCGACCTGTGCCAATAAACAACACATGGTAACCATCGACTACCTTAAAGACATTGAGTGTCTTTTCCCGTACTCGGGAGGGGAATTAAGACATCGTGTTAGGTATGTATTACCTCTCGGTTGCACAGCCCCAGTTTGACTGGGATCGAACAGTGGTCAAACATACTTTGCGCGGAGGGGGGACCGCCAGATTACGTAAGTTTAAGGCTAGTAGTCTGATCGAGTCCTATGGATGCATGTGTGTGGCCGCGTTCTATAATTATTATAAGCAAAATCCAGAGGAGGGTATGTACTTAGTCTAAGTCTCTGCAGCAGGCGAGCCGGTGAAAATGCCGCCAGGGATAAAGGGAGTGGTCGCTAAGTACCCTGACCTATTTGAAGAGCCGAAAGAGGTTGTTGAGAGGGAGGTCATCCACGCGATAGAGATTATCCCAGGGTCTAGCATTCCGAAGGGTAGGATCTACCGGATGTCTCCAGGCGAGCTCGATGAGCTCTGCCCGCAGCTCAAGGAACTCATAGACAAGGGCTCGATCCGGACTAGTGTCTCCCCTTACGGGTCTCTAGTTTTATTTGTACCGAAGAAGGGGGGGACCTTGACGATGTGCATTGACTATAGGTACCTCAATGCCATCACTATGAAGAACGCAGAGCCCCTACCGCGCATCGATGACTTGTTGGACCGAGTGCAAGGGTGTCGGTATTTCAGTAAGATAGATCTGAAGCCCGGGTACCATGAGATTGCAATCCGGCCCGAGGATCAACACAAAACCACTTTTCAAAGCAGGTACAATCTATACGAGCTTGTGGTGATGCCTTTCGGCCTTTGCAATGTTCCTGGCACCTTTCATCACGCCATGAACAAGAACTTTCATGACTACTTGGATAAGTTTGTCACCGTGTACCTCGACGACATACTTGTTTTTCGTAGGACTGTCGAGGAGCACGTTGGTCATTTACACAAAGTCCTTAGCCTCCTTCAACAACACCCGTTCAAGATCAACGGGGAGAAGTGTGAGTTTGGCCGCACCCATATCTTGTACTTGGGTCATGAGATTTCCACGGAGGGATTGAAGCCCGATGACGCGAAGGTGGCCAGCATTCGTGACTGGCCGCATCCTCCGTCTGTGACTGAGATGAGGTCCTTCTTAGGGATGACCGGCTACTACCGCAATTTTGTCAAGAACTATAGAATAGTGGCCACCCCTTTGACGTACCTGATACGCCTTCACACCCCATGGGAGTGAACAGACAGGTGTGGGGCTGCTCTTAGACATCTGAAGCATGCCCTCACTCACCATGAGGTCTTGAAACTGACCCACCCTGACAAGTCGTTTGTTGTAACCACGGATGCCAGCGAATATGGCATTGGTGCCGTACTTGCACAGCAGAAGGGGAAAAAGTTGAGGCCGGTAGAGTACATATCCAAAAAGATGCCCTCTCAAAAGTTGGCCAAGTCCACTTATGAGAAGGAACTCTACGCGATTTACAAAGCGTTGACTCACTGGAGGCACTACCTCCTTGGTCGCTTCTTCTACGTCAGGACTGATCATCAGACCTTGAGGTGGATGAAGATTCAACCGATACTCTCCGATGCTCTGAAGAGATGGACCGAAGTCATAGAGCAAAATGACTTTGAGCCCCAGTACATCAGGGGTGTGTACAACAAGGTTGTTGATGCGTTTTCATGTAGGTCAGACTTCCTGGGTGCGCTGGTCACTGAATTTAGGCTTGCGGGCGATGTTACTCAGTCTTTGGTGGAAGCCTATCACGAGGATCCGTTTATGGTCGAAATCATACACATACTCGAGGCAAAAGACGAAGCAACTATCGACGAGTTTGTGTTGGTCAATGACCTGCTGTTCCTTGAGAAGGTCGGGAATAAACATTTGTATGTTCCAAATCGGGAGTTTTTGTGTACTTTATTTTTAGGCGAGTGCCATGATGCCACCAGACATTTTGGGTACAGAAAGACTGCAGCAAATTTGTTGCAACGGTTCTGGTGGCCCACAATGATGAGAGATGTGAAGCTGTATGTGGAGACTTGTCAGGTATGCCAGAGAGACAAGCCACGTACACAGGCCCCTCTTGGGCTTCTTAAGCCGCTTCAGATTCCGGAAAGGTCCACTGAGAGCCTATCTATGGATTTCATGGATACGCCGGTCACCAGCAAGCGCGGAATGAGATATGTTTATGTCATTGTGGATAGGTTTAGCAAGTATGCTAGGTTAGTCGCAATGACTGCTACAACCAAGACGGAGTATGTGATCAAGTTGTTTAAAGAAAACTGGGTCAGAGACTTTGGGCTTCCGAAGTCCATCGTAAGGGATCGGGATGTCCGATTCACTAGTAAGTTGTTGAAAGTTGCCGCTGCAGAATAAGGAACAAAGTTGTAGATGACTTTTGGAAACCACCCAGAGGCAAACAGACAAGCGGAGCAGCTGAACCACGTTGTACAACACCTGTTGAGGCACTAAATAAAGCCCAACCAGTTGGACTTAGATGAAAAACTTGCTCTCATCTCCAGCCTGTACAACAATGTCGTGCACAATGCAGCAGGGGTGAGTCCTAACAGCCTGCTACTGACTTTTAAGCCTAGACTGCCTCTAGACTTCCTGCTACCTGAGAATCAGCCGACAACTGCACCTGGAACGTTAGAATTTGCATATCGATATGAGCAGTTAATGCATCAAGCGGTAGAACAGATGTACAAGGCCCAGGCGGCGATGATAGAGTCTGAGAACAAGCATTGCCGCCCATCTACATTTCAGGTAGGGGACAGAGTCTGGGTTAAGTCCTCGGAACTGGGACAGGAGTACGGGATATCCCGCAAGCTCATGCCACAATACTTTGGACCTTGGGAGACTCTTGATATTGTCGGGAAGGATCCGGATGGGCCATCATATGTAATACAGATCCCAGGTCATCTTCGCACTTACCCTGTCTTCCACACCTGTAAGCTTGCCCCATTCAAGGAAACTGGACCGTTTCCCTCACGATGCTCGATGCTGCCCCGAACCATGGATGGAGAGGTCGACATCGACAACATCGTAGACCACAGAGAAATGCCAGTTCCAAGACCGACAGGCAGGGGACATCCTCCTAAGCCGAAGCTGCAGTACCGTGTTCTGTTCAAACATCACACTGATCCTAAGGAGGACAGATGGTTCACTCAAGAGGAACTGATGCAGACTGCTCCATAGGCTGTTGCTCATTATTGGAAGTCACTACAGAAAGGAAAGCGCCAAATTGAGTAATCAGACTTCTCAGAGGACTATCGAAGTATGGAGGAGGGAATGTGAGGCTCAGGGCCTCGATCTACCCTACTGGGCCCTATTTTCTATACAATTGGCCGCCCTAAGTGAAGCCAGGGTCGACCCAGGGCCAATAGGCCTATTTTTGGGGTCACCGCGCAATTGGGTAAATTCAAGCAGTTGCGCAACCCCAGTTGGTTGAGAACCCCCATGCCCAGGCTGCCTTTTTTCGTATGTAACTACGACAGGTCCTGGGCCAGATACACGACATGGATCGAACATAGGCCGAGGGTAGTTGGGCACGGGCAACTACCAGAGGCATAGGGCCTGATTCGTGTGGACCGGGGCACAGCCTCTTGGGGCCTACCGGAAGCTTCTGCACAGGGGCCCAACAAAGCCAGGCTTCACGCAACAGGCAAGTCATTTCCATTTAGGAAAGAGCTTGCCCACACATTCCTCATTCGGGCACTGGCTGCATGTTGCGCAAGCGCTGCTGTGCTATACGCTGGCCAGCACTCACTCGCTCATGGGCGAGCTGGAAGGGGCAGGCAGCCATAGTCGAGCTACGCTGTTGTATGTTGGATGGTGCGCATGGTGGTCCTTGGTTGCACGTGGTATATTTGAGTGGGAGATCGAGGTTGTGAGTGATACGAGAGACATACCTGGTGCTTGAGGCGAACGGCATTGGCTGAGATCTGCCCGTACTTTGGGAAGCTGTTAACGTCACCAGCGACATTGTAGATAGACTAGATAGGATCTGCAATTTGTAGTCTGGGCGCAGAGCGCCAGATAGGATGTCAACATTCGTTCGTTGTTGATGATGATGAGACTATTCGAACATTGTCACTCATGAGCTTTTGTTGCATTCTTATTTGGTGGAACTCGTGTTGCAATTCTACTTTTGGTTCGAGGTCACGACTATCTGGTCTCATGTATATGATGGTGCTTGGTTTTTGAAGTTCGCTATCGCTCATTCTCCTGACATTATAAACTAGTAATTGAAAAATTACAATAAACATCTTTGAGTAATTTATTTTTAGAATAAAAACAAACATGCGACTGGACACTTGGAACGCGGATAGAATGTAGAGAACCTACGCTAATGTCTATGTCTGTCCTCGATGTTATACAAAACCTTCTTTCTCCGTCTGGATTTGTTTCCCAAATGTATGTGGAACCTACGAGACAGAGGGCCCTTCAGATGACAACGCCCTCTCCTTCCCGATGCTCCACATAAACAATGTCGACTCTCAAGGTTGAGCGCACTCGGCTCCTCACATGATAGGACTATCAAGACAAAACACACATCATCACGGTAAAAAGTGTTGAAGAGGTAGATAATGTTAAAAGCAACGTACCTCTGTATAGCTGCCACCAACCACATATATTCTCACCAGATGCCCTCACGTCGACTGTGATGACCAACCATTGCTTCGGCACAATCAACATTATACCGTCGTTCCACCTCAGCATCAATCGCACATCAGATAGTTCTCATCACACTGCGAGACACCCAATATCACCACACAACCTTCCTAGTGATGCCCCTTTCCACCTGGGTCGCCTGGTTACCTTCGCCCTCCTTACTGCATGCTAGTCACGATCACTCACCCAGCTAACCATGTGCATGCACCACAAAAGTTGAAGACAAGTGTCAGATAACCGCAATAGTACCACAACTCTGATACCAAAATGCAAGGAAAATAAGCGACAACGAATTTCGAAAACCAAACAGCATCATACACATGAAACCAGATAGTCTTGACCTTGAACTAAAAGCAGTTTTGCAACTCGAGTTCCACAAAATAAGAACACAGCAAAAACTCACAAGTGACAATGTTTGAATAGTTTCGTAATCATCAATAATAAACCAATATTGAACCCCTATCTGGCGCTCAGCGCCCAGACTACGAATGACAAATCCTATCTAGCACATCTACAATGTCGCTGGTGACGTCAACAACTTCCCGAAGTACGGGTCATCTCTGTCAATGTTATTCGCATCAAGCACCAAGTATGTCCCTCACGTCACTCACAACCTCGAGGACTTGAGATTGTTTCTAATCAGAATGGTGAGGTTTCTGTATTTTTTTAAAAGTGTTTGCCTATCTGAATGACGAGGCTAAGCATTGTTTCTAAGAAGAATGGTTTGGTATACCAGTTTCTTTTGAGATTGCTGACTAAAGTTCGACATCGTTTCTAAGCAAAATGATCTAATTTCATACTTTGCATTTCCTTGAGATAGGTTGAAGGTTAACCATTGTTTCTAAGCATAACGGTTGAGCCTAAAGTCACACACTGAGTGCAAACGAGTATACATTGGAAATACTTAATTATTTTTGCATATTTACATGTAACTAGATATTGTTTTCAAGTAGAATAATCTAACTTAAGCGATATCACGAAAATGAGAAGCAAAGTCTACAACATAATTGGAAATAAATTAAGCAAGCTGAACATAGTTACTAAGCAGAATGTTTCAGTTTCCTGCCAACATCAAAAGACAAAAGCAGATATTTATTTAAATTTTATATATTTAAACAGTCCAGGGCAACTAGAAACTGTTTCTAAGTATAATGTTTTACTTACCTGCCCAAAGGAGATAAAAGTAGTTATGCAATTTAATAGTGTATAACCTAAGGCATGCTAGACATTTTTTATAAGAAGAATGATTTAGCGTCATGCCATATGTGAGATGGGTAAATGATTTATTATTTGCAGAATCAATTAACTATTCATTATGCGAAAACAACTTGGGGATTTTATAAAACACTTACCTTGGTTACATGTGTCAATTTGGTTGTGATTCTAGTCTAAGTTGTTTTTCTGATAATAGTAGCTTTAGATACTTATAATGTGATGGAGCTATATGAGTTGGTTCTAATTTTGTGTTTTTGAGTTAACTCGTTTTGACTTTGTACCTGGCTTTGTATAAATTTTGGAAGGACACTTTCACTAGGGGAATGTTGGTGAAATTTCTACAAATCTACAGAGTTAGTTAAATTTTCTCTTTACAAATTTTAAACTTGTCTAAAATTTTATCTAATCTAGTAAAAATATTGGAAGTCTACCTCCATAGGGAGAGTGTTCTCCAAATTCTTGCTAATTCAGAGAGCCGGACAAACTTCGACTTTGTAAAGTCAAAATTATTTCTGGCATTTATGTTTAGGTTTGTACAAATTTTGAAAAGCTCCTTTCCATAGGGGGAGTGATGTTGAAATTTTTACAAATCTAAAAAGATTTGAAGTTTATTTTTTGTAAAATTTATTTTTTTGTTTTTGAGTTATATGTGACGTTATATAAATATTGTAGGTCTACTTTTCTAGGAATTTTTTTTTTTGATTTTACCAACTAAATCAGGGTGTCAAACAAAAACAAACCCTTCAAAAGTCGAAGTCTCTCTAAGATTTTATATTCAGCTTAGTATAAAATTTGAAATGGCACATTCTCTAGAGGGAGTGTTACAAAACGTTTTATAGTTTCAAAGAGTCCCTAAGCTCTAAAAACATATATATAAATCTCCCTAAATTTATAAAATAAATCAGGGATGGGTTTATACTTTATCGTGTGAGAAGGTGGATGAGATGTGATACAAGGTTATATTTTCTGTACATTTAAGTAAAGTTTGGGTTATGGTTGGTGTTGTGTTATGGGGCCTATTCGTTCATTCTGATTCAAGATTCGTCAATTTCAGCCCGATCCTGCGAGAATCGTCTTCTGTTATCGTATGATGAAAGGTTGGTTATCGATTGTCGGTTTCCGGCTAAAATCTAACTCATTTTTGCTACTCAACGTAAGACCTTAGACCCTGGGGGTTTGAAATGTTTTTTTTTCAGTTTTACCAAAGCTTTTATTGAATGGTCATTTAAAGAGAACTCAAAAGACTGAAGCTTGTGTAAATAAATAAATGTGTGTGAGTGTAAAAAGTGGTTGAAGCAAGCCCCGTATAGTGTGTAGTTTGTCGATGTGAAAATTTTTGATATGATTGTAGTGCTTTATGACTCGAACTCTGGATTACACTTGTCTGCAATCATTCCTGTACTTCGAAGGAATTCACATTATGATTGTGAGAGTGATCGTTTTGTGTTATAACCT